GGGGGGGGAGGGGAATGGCAGCCATGCATCGGGGTTCTGTAGAGAGAGGTTCGAGGAGGTGTGTGTCGACGTACTACAGGCTGCCATAAAGATGGGTGGTTGGCGACTGGGAGGTGTGGGGCGGATGCACAATCAGGGAAATGCGCATTATTGATCCGACGAGGATGTCGACGAGTGTACCATCACCGCCATCGTCATCACCATCTTCCTAAATCATCATATAATCATCTATGAGATGGCACGAGCAAGGGTGGGTGACTCTCTTCGACCATCCTGTCTCGAAACGCGCGTAGTTTATTCATAGATAACCCAAGGAATTTATGATGTATAATCCCAACAAGTCGGATGATTATATACATTATGGGCCTTGGAAAAGCCAGTTAAAATCACGACACGAAGCGATGCGATGTTCTTTGGGATTTCCGTATATGTAAAACGATACGTGCTCGAATCATCTATCTCGAACGGAAACCAAAGATGGTGCTGAGGATGACGTGTTATCCTTGCAGACATACAGGTGTCGCGTCTAGAGGGCTCTCTCGTGTTACTTACTGCAAACAATAATGATGACATGGACTGACACAGTGACGGTTACCAGGAAACCTAATGACGTACCTCGTAAATAAAATATTGACTCGTTGTGACGGTTTTGGTTTCCGATAAATCATTGGGAGCATATATAATGAACTAACAGTTGATGATTGAGTGGCAGTGCACTGTCACAGACATAAATGTAATGAGCTGCGCAACACCATCTGCCTTCGTTGCACTGTCGCAGACATTTATCACTATGATTGAAACTATAGACGTGAAGCCCTAACAACCGATGCCCGTCACGTACCGCATTAACTCTCAGAATAATGAGAGCGAGGAGGAGTTCATCGTCGATCTAAAATGTGCACCCAACCGACGATGATTGTCATCTTCTCTCTCTGTCTCTCGCTCTTGGTATGAGAAGGAAGGAAAATCTATTGAATCGGTGGTGTTCTAGTGAAGCCGCCCCCCATTGGCTTCTCTAACTAACTTTTCATTCTTACAAGACTACCCCAAATCTATGTCACGCTGTTAGTAGATCTTGACACATTCTGACATTCGGAAATTTAAGCTTTATGTTGAAAAAGAATCGTTTTCGAGAGTTGTCTAGTCATGATTTGTGATTATGTAAAGAAGAGTTATTGCATGTTGTGATGTATGCAAAATGTTAGAGCTTAGTGTTTCTTTTGGTATTGCGACTTGCGAGGACCCGTTCCTCCATCGACTCCTCCGTAGGTCGGTCGATTAAATTTGCTTTTTATCTCTTTTCGATCGATCATGGATGGATGAGGTGAAACCGAGAGAGATTCTTGCGTCTTAAGATCGCTGTCACAGCTTTTGGCAGTGCAGTGCCTGTATCGTGCCATCGGCGATCGCGTCGAGCTGTATACGTATGGCAACCACATCTGGAGATGAGCACCGAGTCCGTTGCATCACAGTCAGTATGGGATGACAAAACAACATGATATATCGTTATACGTGACGGCAAGCACGGCAGTGAAACCCACCCCACCATAGCGGTGGGAGGCTCAGAAGCATAAGAACAAAGCTACATCGGCGACGAGCAGCGCTCCCTGCACTCCCATCTTTATTGTACACAGTACTTAGTAGTTAACCTCCACGTCCGAAGATGATCTCAGTTCACCCTGCGGAAGCAATTAATAATGACCAAGAAAAAGCTGAATTAGCGGTGTCCTTTGGAAACTGGAAAAGGAGAGTCTTCTATCTATCTTTGATATGGTCGATATTAAGGAGGATACTAACTGTGACATATAGATAAGAGCTACGAGGAATTATTCTACCCAAAGGAGCGGCTGATAAAAGGAGATGAGATAGCTTGGAGAATGAGGAAAATATGTATGCGTGGAGCATCTGATGAGAAGGAGCTTGCAGGATAATAGCATTATAGTTGGATAATAGCATTGAAGAACACTCACTTGGAGCAGTCGGTGGAGGGGCTGATGGTGTAGGGGATGCTGACACCACACTTGCCCGGGATGCCGGAGACGACGCCGGTATTGGCACTGGAGAACCGGGAAACGAGGGACTTGATACAGGTGCAAGCAGTCTTGCGGTCGGCCGAGGTTTTCGCGGCGCTGTTGAGGCTCTTCACCCCGTTGCAGCAACCGGAGGTCAGCGACCCCTTGCCGGTGGCGTAGGGGATGCATGGGCTCAGGTCAGACGTGACCTGGCCGCATGTGATGGCTTGGGTAACATGCGGTGCGGTGCCGAGGAGGAGGGCCAGCGCAAGAACCAGGAGAGCACCGGAGCGCGCCATGGCAGATCACACGCTGATAGTAAAAGCAACGGCTACGGAGTGGGACGTACGTCTCCCAATCCACAACGGTGCGGATGGTTTTATAGAGAGAGAGAGAGAGAGAGAGAGAGGCTCGGGGTGTCGTAACGTACAACTAATGACTGCGAGTGGTTGGATGTTGGAGGGAGGGCAATGTGCGGGCCAGTGCCTAATCATCCATCCATCCATCCATCAACCACGGGGGAGGGAGGGAGGGATGAATGTCACGTCACGTGCCTAATCATTCATTCGCTGTAAAATTCAATTGAATTAATCCTTAATAAGTCAATTTAAATTTTAATTATTGGGAACTAAATCGGCAGCCAGTGAATGTTATTTTGGGACTTGTCATGGTGTTGTATAAAAGAAAAAGAACAATAGACGACAAGCAAGCACGGGCGTAGCGATACATGTCGTAGGCACATCATCTTAGGTGGAAACACTGTGAGCACCAAATAAATGTGCCAACAGAGACTAATAAATTAATTTCCCCACGATTAATGAATGGTGTTCGGAGTCATCTATCTATCGATCACGGCAATCATACAGTGACGTGCACATACTGACATGCCTGCATGAACAAACACTCGAGTGACTGACCGTGCTCACTGACGAGAAAGTAATCCAAGTCTCTCGCACAGATGATGCCAGCAATGCAATTCCATTGGATCGATGATAAGGTAGGATTTGAAATAGCATCACGTCATATCTCCCTCTCTCTCTCTCTCTAATTAATTAAGTTGGTGTTGCTTAAGCATCGAGCACCTAATTATGTTGCGATATTTATTGTCAACAACTGCAAGTAGTTGAGAGACAATTGAAGCGAGGAGGTGATGCCCTATCTAACGTGCAATCCATCATTACACGAGATGTACAATGTTAACAACAAGCCATTGTCAATGCGCCCGATCAAATTTTGCATCCATCGGGCTCCTCCTTCCGCTTGACACCCGTACATGCCGAAACATGCCCACATCCTACGGTGGGAGAGGCGTCAGGGTGCGACGCGTGTGACAGGATGATGTGGGTGGGACTCACAGCACGTCCGTATCTCCGGCTGCCATGCCGATGACGCAACGTGTTGCATCGACTGGACCCCCACACCGTCCCACCACAGTACATCCACCTCCGCCGATCCGAACCGACGGTATGCCCGACTTAAAAAGTCACCATTGCATCTAAAAGTTTAAATGGTAGATGGGACATAATCATGATTTAGATTTTTAATGCTCCCCTCACACATACACAGTAGATTGCTCAACACGTGGAATACTACCAGCGAACAAATACTTTACGAAGCAAAGGCTACCACAGTTCGAAGCACACCTCAGAGGAGAGAGTATAGCCAACACGAGCGGATCAAATCTCAACAGCATATTCATAAACACTAAACTACAACCAATCTCAACATGTTATCATTACATTCTGTTGACCAACTTAGAAAGTTTGCCAATAGGCAAAAAATCATCAGAAAAAAGCCATATCCTTACCAGAATAAGATCTAAGAAATTTGCTACATTTTACATGCATTACCGAAAAATTAGCCTTGCAACCAACTAGCAGGTTCTCTAATAATTCAACAAAGAATACTTCACTCTCAAAACAATCTTCCCTTTCTCGACTCCCAGCTTTCCGCCGGTCACCACCCAGTGCCCTGGCATGTCGTCTGGGCCTTTTTTCATCTCAGACATGTCCACAAATTTTGACAGCCTCCCCAGATCTGAATCTGAGCTTGACTCGTCCGAGCTCATCGATGCTCCACTCGGCAACCTCTTTAGTTTATTCTTCGAGCCATCAGGGCTGTGGTCCCATAAGGATCTCCTTATGGTACATCTGGGCACTTTCGAATATAGAAGTTTCATGTACAAAACATTCTTCGTCCCAAAGTCCCAAACCCCAAGCTGAGCTCCGGTGACCACAAAGACACCAGAGAGGTCACTAATGAAAGTCTCATTGTTCTCGATAGGAGCCGTGGTGACATGGGAGAAGTTCCTCCATTTTACAGGCTCAAACCAACGGCTGTCTTGCTCCTCTGGACCCTGCCACTTGGGTGCACCTATTGCGACATGGGCGTCCCAGTATGGCTGGAGCATCTTTGGAAGGCTTGCCAGATGCTGAACCTGAATACATAGTCGGTTCTGCTTTGCACCTTCCAAGAACAATCTTAGGCCGGTGACAGGCTTACGGCTGACCGATACCTGTATGGATATGCAAATGATGTAATAGCAAAGAAAGATGCATTGAAGTTTCAGCTGACATGAGAAAACATGTAAATTTTCTGGTTCTTTATGCCATTATATTCTCTAATTATCTTAGTTCAGCCGGAGAAAGAAAAGGGAAAGACCATGCATGCGGCAGACTTCATGCATCAAACTTGAAAAATAGTTGTTGATACTTTACTTTGATATGATTAAACTTTTCGAAAGTTGAAACTTCATAATTTCTTTATTTAAGTTGGAAATCACATTTTTGTATTGAACTCTCATGTACAGCATTTTCCTTCCACCAACTAAAGTTAAACAATAAGAGACAGCTTAAGATTCTATTCCATGCCCACCAATGTCAGTGTTGACCCTGTTTCCCCATGGCTGAACTTTTTAATGTACATCATAAAAGGCATACCTGCTCTTGGCTTACATATAACTTCTGCCCCATTATGCTGAACTGCAAAAATGGGCAGACTGGCTCTTTTCTTTTATGTCCTGGAAATTCTTCTCGTACAGGGGCCCATATCCATGGGACCTGGAACTCTAGGAAATATCGGAGCTCCTCAATTGGAGGCTTATCTGTGAAAAATTATATAAGAAAAGAAATATGGAGAGCAACCAAAGAAAGGTTCCAATTAAACAAGTGAAGCAACTACATACATTCCAAATAAAGGTTGATGGCACGAGTAAGATGGTCCTTCCCAGGAATACTTTCTAGAAGAGAAGTAATGGGAAGGAAAGTCATTTGAATAACATCAGGCGCTGAAGGAACAGTTCTGGCCCATTCAACGTGGCTTTGTACTAGGTCGTCCCCTCCCCTCCTCCTAAAAATGACAGTTACATCCTGCATCAATAAGTGCAATAGATAAACATAAAAGCTCATGATGCCATCATATACTTTAAACCACCATCACTAGCCTCAATGGATATGAGATGCAAGGAAGTGATTTTATATTATCTAAGCACACTTTTTTCACGTAAACAATGAAGGAGAGGAATTATGATGCATAATGACTAGATTTTATTTGGCTACTAAGACCAATGTTAAAAATTGAAAGTCGGAGAAGAGAGTCAAGAATTGAGCTTTTGGGGTTTTAGAGTTTCAATTGAGTGATCTATACTTGGATGAAAAATCAAAGAAACTTCATCTAATCAATAAAATCTTTCACGCAAGTTAAGCAGTGTGTTTGTTAACAAATAACAACATCAGTATACTGCAGCATGGTTAAGGATTCAAACCTAATTCAAAATAATCCTGGATTGCCTAATTGACAATCATGCCAGAATCAAGCCAACTCTACCACGGTCTGCTGGATCATGAATTTATTTTATTACTAAGGTGAAAGCAACTTATTTCTGTCAGCAAAAAAACTATCATCTAAATGAACCCTCTTGAGAGTATAACTGTGCTAGTTTGGTTCTGGCCTTCTGGGTTCTGGAAACAACCCCTGGGTCACACGTATAACAGATCACCACCCTGGCAGAATTCGGAGGTATCATGCCTAAACCAACAGAGAAGTGATAAAGAAACATAAACTGATGGCCTGGATTAATATGCATCCAGAGAACCAGTTTCTTCATGTGCTAATGACATCTACGCTAAGTGCTCAAGTAGGTGGTGGTTGGTAGGCAGCTTTTCTTCTTGTTCTTAGGTTTCTCTCATGAAAGAGATATTAACAAGAGGGTGAAAATCCTAAGTGCCTGCTCTAGTTGCTACATAGTGTAGCTTCACTCTCCTCAGGAAATCCTCCATTAATATAACATTAAGCAATTACAGGAGCAATTTGTTGGTAGGCTCATCTGTTCTTGATTGTTAATTTAGTCAATTAAATAAAGAGAAATACAAATAGAATTATTTGTCATATTTTCTTCGATATAATTATAAACACAATCTGTCTGAGATAATTGCCTTTAAAAATGAACAATTATTCAAATTCTGAAACACATTTTGAAGGAAAAATGTGTCCAAACTTATAATTGTTAAAACAATTAAAAAAAAATTATTTCATATAAATCTTAGACAGGTTGTGTCCTAATATAAATTCTAAAAGGATTTCCTCATGGTTTCCAAGAGCAGTGTCAGAAATGGAATTGATCATGAATGATATAGTTGGGATTCGTTGGATCAAACAAATCAGACCAACAATACAGTAATCAATAAGTAAAAAATTTAAAAAAATATATAATTCATATAAAAATTACAAATACTAGAAAAAAAGAAAATCAAATTTGAGAAGATCAATTACTTGTGGTAAAATTTTTATATCTTAATATTTCATTAAATATCTATCTTTTTAGAAATAAACCATGAAATTAAAATATAATATTATTTTAACAATAACAATAAAAAATTAACAATGAATAATTCATCAAAGAACTATATGATAATTAGAAAATAAATGCTGGTAATATTTTTCAGAGATATTAATGTAGTAAATAACTATTAGAATCAAATCTTATCAATCTGACCCTACTACGACCCCAATGCTTCTTCTCAAATCGACAAAAAGATCAAGTGTGGAAAAGCACAAAAACTAATAAAGAAAAGGATGTGATTAATTTGGACCGTATAAGGTGTCTATTCTCCATATTATAATTCAAGATCCACAATCTCATTTTACCGGTAGTGCACCGGTCAGGGCTCAAACCAGTAGCAATCTGACCAGTTTACTGAGTATTGGTTTGTCAGTGCATACCAAGTTTAAGGAAAATCCTGAAAAAAAAAAAAACCACTTGGTACAGGCCTTGTACCAGACAGTACAAGTCATGTACTAAGTGGACTAGACAGTACAAGATGGTACAGCCCTTGTATCAAGCTTCACATATTTTTTCCTTTTATTAAGGCTATAGAATCAGCTAAAATTTACCAAAACCAACCACATTCTGACCCTACTGCTAGTTGTTTCTCACCGATTGCTAACTGTAAGGCCAAAATTTTGGGCAAATCAACCATGGATGTCACCATATAAATTGGCATATCATGTCAAAATTGACCATTACCGTGAATTATGAACCTTCTTATCAATAAAGGTAGCTCTTTCACATAAAATAATATTCAATATACAATGTAAGTGACAAATATCAAAATAGAAACATGTCATGATCATTTCTCATTGCTTTATGTTGCAATGATATCACAAATGGGAAAAAAAGAGGCATGCTCTTCCAAACTCTGCTTCACTTCATTTTTCTTTCCTAAGTTTCTTACCATGGAAATATTATTACTAACAGTATGTTGCAAAATATGGTTCTGCTGGTTGGTAACAATGAGTTACAGTAGGTTACATGCACAGAACATAGGTGGGCACCACGAAATATGTACCTCATTGCATGCTGTTTGCATGGTAAGAATAAAAGGAACATCAATTGAAGTACAACAAAACAATTTTAAGTGTATGCACCACCTAAGCACCATGGCTGATGTTTAAAATTTGGGTCAGCACTATAATTAGATATCACAATGAAAGCGAATAGCACTTGCCTCTTTTGCAGTAAGATATGGAGCATTAAGTGGTTGTGGGTGTATACCTTGACTGTTAAATATAAAAGGATCCACAGCCTGGAATATGTGAAGTACAAAATGATTGAGCAGATTTGCAACAGCAATATACGTTTACAGTAAGCATAGCAACTTTATTGGAAAAAAAAATCGCAAAATACTAGCCTTGCCCTTCAATTTTATTGGACCAGAACTCGTAACGCTTTCAGTCTCAGAGAATCTCTGATCTCCAACATCTAGTATGTAGTTTTTAATTTCTGTGATTGATAAAGTTGATGAGATGTGCTGCTTCACATATATCACATCCTTACCACCAATAGTAATGGATGTGATGACATGAGTACCATAAGTCTCAATAAATCTGTCAATCAATTAAAAATGTTAAAGAAAATTATTTAATCTGAAATATTTTACTTTCTGTTGTTGAAGATTCCACATTACTACCTTGCTAAGGACAACGGTTCCCATGAACGTGGCACTGCAGCTTTTACATGATCTTGCAGCGATAAAGGATGTTTCATCAGCTGAACCTTACACAAAGGAATGAATTTCCCATTCATTGCAAGGCTTTTTGTAGCAGCAGCATCAATTTTCTTTGAGCCACTAAAGCTGAATGCACAATTAAACCTTCCCAATGGAATACTTCCTGATAGAAGAGCCTTTCTGTTAAAATACTCTGCCATCTGCAGTTTCTTACAAGAAATAAGAAAAAATAGAGTTAATAACCACAAACAATCATTGTTCCTGCTTCAATCTGCAAATTAATTATATGAACTTTGAAGGTAAGAACACATTGACAGATATCACACAACAGAGGAATATTCACAACAAAAGCCTTAGATTAAGTGTAAAATAAGGTAGTAAATTCTGAAACTTTGAGCCCTCTTGGATACTCCTAAAGTGGTCCACGCACTTTGAGATAGGGTTCCATTTTAGTCAAAGGGTTGATCACCCTGGTCTGTAGTACAAGCTAGTGCCAAACGACACTGACTATTGCCTCATGCTCCAAAGTTGCAGAGTATTAAACTTGTAGTTGCTACTTGAAGCCTCCACGAAGGTAGGTTGTTGGTTTAAGCTAATTGAGAGTCAAAGAAACTGATAAGGACCAGCCCTTTGTCACGAATGATCGTCGCGCACCCGCAACAATTTCGTTCAACGAACCGTTTGTCACTTTTGCATGCTTGTACAGAGACGTGGCAGCATGTTTTGCTTTAGTTTTGTGTGTTTTTTACTTGGAAAATGTAAGCAACGATAGTTCACAGAGTTGCAGTGCGACCGCTTATCGCGTCGGGCCAAACTGCCCCAAAATGGCTCCGTTTTTGCATGCCACGGCTTGTTTTCTGCACACCGCAGCTGCACACGAAACGTCAGCCATCTCAGCACCCTATAACCCCCCAGGTGGCACAAGGTTGGATGAGGCTTCCGTATATTATCAGGCATTGAACAATCTTCACAAGTTCGCACATTAACTTGACGGGAACTTACCTTCGCGCCCTGCACCCAATGAGCAGTTGTTTGTGGACTTGCAACTGTTCGTTCTACCTCCTAAAGTCCTTGTTTTCTCCTTCCTCTCTTTTCTCTCTTGCACTCAAGGTGCTTGTTGAATTGCTTGTAAAGCTTCTCTCTTCGTGAGACGTCGGGACTTGTCCGTCGCTCATTTTCGAACTAATCAACTTTCTCTTTTATAGGTCCTTCGGGACCTAAGTGAGGCTATAAATTGGCTAACCCTTTGTGGACGCATATCGCAAGAGTGCTTCGCGACTTAGGCAACTCAAGCTAAGTTCGCGACTTTGCCACAAAGGTGCCTAATGGCTTAAGGCAATTCTAGCTAAGTCTGTGACGTTGTGGTATCATAGCAGGCAAGCAATTCGAGCAAGCAGCGAAGAAACTTCACAATCTCGCCATGGCAAAGCATCATGGCGAATTGAGCAAGATGGGGCAAGCCGGACCATTGCCCCAAGCAGCCGCAGGTGGGCTGCAAGTGCAAACTCGCTCTCATGCTGTTGGAGTCGCTCTGGAGGAGCGTGGCAGCGAACATGATGAGCGAGAAGTTGACTACTCTCCGCGAGCGGAGGAGGCGCAATCTGAAGCACCAACTAGGAAAAAGAGCCATAAGGAGAGACTCACAACGGCGGAAACCTACCTGGATGTTCTTGAAGCGAGCTTGGAGGAACTCTACCAAGGCCAACGAAGGCTTCTTGGGCTAGAGAGCTCGCAAGAAGAAGCCGAATCCCGAATCGACAAGGTCGAGGCCCAAGTCGATCGATTGACAGACGATACCAAGGACTCTGTGCAACATTTACACGAAGTCGTGGTGGAACTCACTTCCAGAGTGACTATACTCACAAGGGCACTAAATGCGGGACGAAACACCCGTGTTGCGCCGCCACAAAACTTGAGAGCACCCGAGCCACATTGTTATGGGGGTGCTAGAGATGCTAAAAAGCTCGAGAATTTTCTATTCGACATGGAATAATATTTTCGAGCTACAAGGCTTGATTCTAAAGAAACTAAAGTTTTGATAGCAACTAAGTATTTAAATGGGGATGCAAAACTTTGGTGGCGAACCCGTTGGGAGGAGATCCAACAAGGTCGGTGTCAAGTGGACACATGGAAGGACTTGAAGTGGGAGTTGAGAATTTAGTTCCTACCCGAGAACACAGAGTTTGTCGCAAGGAAGAAACTGAGACAACTCTACCAAAGCACTTCCATTCGAGACTACGTGAAGCAATTTTTTGCACTAATGCTGGACATATAGGATATGTCCGAGAAGGATAAGCTGTTCAACTTCTTCGATGGTTTGAAGTCATGGGCTCAACAAGAACTGCATTGAAGGAATGTCATCGATGTGATCGGGGCAATTACGATCGCAGAAAGGCTCACCGACTTTGTTTCATCGGAGAACTCAAGGAAAAGAAAATAATCTTCAAGAAACCGCCCTCCAAAATATTCTCGAGGGAAGGAGCCCGGGGGCGAACAAAGGAAGAAGAGTTCCCACAAAGGGCCAAGCTCAAAAGGCAAGGCCTCGAAACCTGGCGAATGCTTCTTGTGCGGAGGGCCGCACATGGTGAGGGAGTGCCCACAAAAACAAGCACTCAATGCTTTAACAGCTTCTATCCATCCCCCCAAATCAGACAAGGGCAAAGCCGTCGCCCTCAGTTCAAGTAGTTCAGAATCCAACGGTGACGATGAGGAGTCACAAGGTCCCCGGATGGGAGCAATACGTTTGTTGAATGCATTATGGGGTCAAGTGGGGGAGAACATGAAGCCAAAGCCACAGAAAGCTGGGAGTAGTGAGCTGATGTACGTGGACATTAAGCTCAATGGCCAAACAACCCGTACAATGGTGGATACGGGCGCTACCCACAACTTTATTGTCAACCGAGAAGCAAAGCGACTTGGGCTGATTTTGGAGAAAAACCCAAGCCGGATGAAGGCGGTGAACTCGGAGGCCAAGCGGATCTCCGGGTTGGCAAAGGGACTTCCCATCAAGATCGGAACATGAAGCGGGAGCACCAACATGATAGCGGTGCCACTGGACGACTTCTAAGTGATTCTCAGAATGAAGTTCATACACGCGACAAAGTTGGTGTCAATGTCGTTCCTAAACTCCCTATGTATGATGGGAGGTGATGACCCCTGTGTGGTTCCCGTCTCTCGGAGAGGAACCAGGGACCTCCAACAGATATCGGCTTTACAACTGAAGAAAGGGGTACGAAAAGGCGAATTAACATTCGTGGCTGCAGTGAAGCTAGAGCCACTTGACGAGGAGGCTATTCATGAACCTACTGTGGTGGCGAACGTTTTGAAGGAGTTCACAGATGTTATGCCACCTGAGTTGCCGAAGACTCTACCGCCACGTAGAGGCGTGGATCATCATATCGAGCTGGAGCCAGGAGTGAAGCCTCCAGCGAGACCACCCTACCGCATGTCCCCTCCAAAGTTGGCAGAGCTCAGAAAGCAGTTAAATGAACTGCTAAGCGGTGGTCTCATCTGCAGTTCTAAAACACCATTCGGAGCTCCAATTCTCGTCCAAAGAAACAAGATGGGAGCTTCCGACTATACGTCGATTATCGAGCCCTCAACAAAGTGATGATGAAGAACAAGTATCTCATCTCGCTCATCGTGGACTTGTTTGACCAATTGGGCAAAGCAAAGTATTTCTCCAAACTCGACCTCTGGTCGAGGTACTGGCAGGTGCGCATTGCTGAAGGTGACTAAGCGAAGACTACCTGCATGACCAGGTATGGAGCGTTTGAGTTCTTGGTGATGTCTTTCGGCTTAACCAACGCTCCGACCACATTCTGCACTCTTATGAACCAACTATTCAAAGAGTATTTAGATAAGTTTGTGGTCGTCTACTTAGACAATATCGTCGTCTAAAGCCAAACACTCGAGGAGCATGTCGAGCACCTTCGGACAATTTTCAAGGTTCTCAGGGAGAACACTTTGTTCGTGAAAAGGGAGAAGTGCTACTTTGCTCAAACGGAGATCTAATTCTTGGGGCATCGAATCGATGATGGTTCCATTCGGATGGACAAATCAAAGGTGTAAACTGTTGCGGAATGGCGAACTCCAAAGAAGGTGCCGGAGCTGTGATCCTTCCTTGGTTTCGTCAACTACTATCGGCACTTCATAGCTAGGTATTCGAAGCGTGAAACTCCACTGACTGAGTTACTGAAGAAGGAGCAACCTTGGAGATGGTCCGACAAATGTGAAGCTACATTCCAAGATCTAATGGCTGCTGTGTTGGAAGAACCGATGCTCAAATTGCCAAAATATGGGGAGCCTTTCGAAGTCCATACAGATGCTTCGAATTTCACCATTATTGGAGTACTCGTGTAGGAGGGTCACTCGGTGGTCTACGAGAGTCGCAAACTCAACGAGACCGAGCGACGGTATCCGGTGCACAAAAAGGAGATGACAGCGGTAGTCCACTGTCTACGAGTTTGGCGATACTGCCTTCTTGGATCACGATTTGTGTTGAGGACAGACAACATCACTTTGAGCTACTTCCAAACTCAAAAAAAACTCTCCTCAAAGCAAGCACGATGGCAGGACTTCCTGGCTGAGTTTGATATGGCAATAGAGTATAAGCCCGGAAAAGCAATGTCGTGGTCGATACATTGAGCAGGAAAGTAGAGCGAGTGAATGCTATACAGTTGGAGAGCAAAGGCCAAGCTAATCAGTTGCACTCTAACTTTCTTTCCAGGATCAGGGATGGATTATACAATGATCCCCAAGCAGTAATCCTGATGCAGCTCATCAAAGAAGGCAAGGCACGACGATTTAAGGTCCAGGAGGAACTCGTTTACATAATTTATGTTCCTCGAGTGGATAATTTGAGGCATGAACTCTTAAGAGAGTGTCACGATTCCCTTTGGGCTAGACATTCGGGTATTCACAGAATCTTGGCTCTCGTAGAGAAGGCCTTCTACTAGCCGAATATGGGGACTGATATGGAGGAATATGTTCGAACGTGCCTGACTTGCCAACAAGATAAGGTGGAGCAACGGAAGCCAGTGGGACTTTTGGAACCGTTGCCCGTACCAAAAAGGCCATGAGAGAGCATTTCCTTAGACTTCATATCAAGCTTGCCGATAGTAGGGGGACTCAAATCGATACTCGTGGTGGCCGATCGATTTTCAAATTATGCAACTTTCATTGCTGTAACCTCACACTATTGAGCAGA